TTGTGCTAGCAAAAATGAATTATCTACAGATTTTGAAAATCCTAATCATATTTATATAAGTCCAAACGGGCTTGGATTGACCCAGTCCAATATTTAATTAACTCATTTAATTAAATTCGGTCCGTGAATTAATTAATCCAATTAATTAATTTGAGCTTATAAATAAGCAACCCAATTAATTACTTTATCCAACGCTTGTTAAATTAATTAATTAACAAATCAAAATCTTCCAATTCTCCTTTTGTGTGCAACCTATCAAGTTCCCGATTACGATACCTAACGACGTGAAATATTATTTTGATCTAATCAAAATTGATAAATTAAAAATATCCTTTTAATTTATCATCAATTCATACTCGTCATCCCAAATTGACATCTAGTAATGTGTTGGGGCAATACATGTGACGAAAAATGTCATGTGGTATAACAAAATCAAACTCGTTCGTTTACTGTGAAACTATAATTCCTTCATCAATATGATCCGATCAATTATGAGATATGGATAAGTGTCAATCTCAATTATCGATCATATCTTTCATTTCACTATTAAATCAATATGAGTTGAAAACTCTTTTTTGACTTGTGAGCACATATTGGCCAATGATTTCATTATCGACTTAATTGAATGATATATGAATCATAATCTGTTACTATCTAAGAGTGATGAATCCTCCATTGATCATTCACAACCTTCATACGATTATTGATATACCCGAACGATAACGTATTAGCGGTCCATGGCAGAGCAACATTCAATACCGTCAAAGTATGATTGTCCTCATATAAGGTACTATGACAACCTCAAATCAAAGGACCAATCCCACTACCTAACGATAGAGATTAACTACTGATACTCAAATAGTTATCTATTTGGAATCTCTCGATGGGTCTCCAATATTTTGTTCTACAACAAAATATTCACGTGTTTATTTAAGTGTCACTATATTTTAGTTTGAGAGATCAACTACTTACTTCACAAGTAAGAAATGCTACACGTGATGGTTTATCCGTAATAATGATATCCATATCTCGTTATTACTTACGACTACGGACGATTTAAGATTCAATCATATGTAATTTGTATCTCACAATCACAACTCATTGTGATTAACAAATTATCAAGATTTGAATCTACGTACTCTATTATTTAATTTAATTGAATATTAATTAAATAATAGATTTTGCTAGAAAATTATATCAATTATATATTAAAAGTATTTATGTCCAATGTTGATTGGACTTAGGGCATAATACTTACATGGCATTCATCAAAATGTACAATTTTTGGGTTCGATCATGAGGCAACCTTTAAGCCAAAGAGAATAAGCATTCAGGAGCATTTCCATGATTTTGAAGGGTCAAGATAATCTCGCACTGAAGTTATCGAGGTGGGCTAAACTATCCCTGTCTTTCTTGTTAAACCATGTAAAGCACGTTCCATTTCTTCTACGTACAAAGTATAAGAAAAAGGCAGACATCACATTGTCAAGCCGATATTACAAGGATAAGTTAAGTCCATGGACTTTAACAAAACCACCTCATCTAGGAGTATCTTAAGCAAAGACGTTTATTTATTTAGATTTTGCCATTTAAACATCCCATCACGTACATGTTGTATTTGTTTTTTCTGCTCTATCTTCTACGACATTCAAGAGCTGAGAATATTCGGGTGGTTATCCTTGCCAGTCTTGGAAGTATATATTTAGCTCCTTATTGGCTGGATTTAAAATGGGCAATAGAAGTTGTTTGTGAAGACCTAAGCCTTAAGAAGTACCACTAATTGTAGCTTATAGCTCCAAATTTTAAGCTCTATGACCTCCAATGGGAAATTAAAGGCCTCACAAATGCATAATTTTCATAACTGAGTGACACCGAGGCTTGATTTGAAGACTTCTGTATCATATTGAACTATTTTGATTTTAGAGCTTAAGCTATAATGATATATCTTCTAACATGCACGCCTCTCCACAATAAACTTTGATTAGTTATTTTCATTAGTATTAATTCATGATTGTCAGTTGAGAGCGTCAAGCACGGGATAGAAGACAATCGTAATTAGCCTCATATGCTGCAGAAGAACGGATATAACGTTAAAGCTCAATAAGATGTTTGAATCTTTGTACCTAAAAAGCGTGAAGTGCACATGAACACACAAAAGAAAAACATAAGATAAGATTTTTAGTGTCTTTTTTCTTTCATCCATGATTTGAGATACACGTTTGAATGAAGTTGCTGTTGCTTTTCAAAAAAATAAAAAATAAATTGCAAATTGTACTGAAGTTTTTCGTATTCTTACTCAAATGAACTTGAAATGTAGCATGCCCAATTTTGGTATTCTTACTCAAATGAATTTGAAGTGGGAGGGGACCATGCCCAATTTAATGCTCGGGCCCGGTCCCCCATGTGAGGGGACTATACACCAAGCCTTACAGCTCAATGTAAATGTACCGGCTTCGTTGTATTAATTGTAGGAACATACTAATGTACATGAAACATACTAACTCTTACATCCATCTTCTTATTCAAAGTTCATTGAATGATAATTAATGTGGACTCACACACACACACATATATATATCCAATTAAATAAAAAAAATTTAAAAAATTAAGAATGTAATCTGGATAAATTCATAAAATTATTTTATTCTGATATCATGTAACTTTTAATGTTTAAAAGTTTAAATATATGTAACACTATATACTTTAATTCTTTGTATCAAAACACAAAATCAGCTCTCAAGAGAGAATCCATCTAGGAAAAAGTTCTCCCCCAAGAATGGATGAATTTAAGAAAAAAAATATTTTTACGTATTAAAGTTATCGAATATTTAATATACATAATATTTAATTCTAATAATAAACATCATAAAACGATTAATATTCAAAATTCTAAAGTTTAAGACATAGGATGAAATAAATTCCTAACTATCAATATTAGAAATTATTAACTTGATTATTAGAATGACAAAATCAATTAAGTCAAATTGATATCAAAATAAAATATGTGCAAAACAAGTGCACAAAATTTCAATGAACTTGCACGTTCTGACTAATTCTTGTTTCACGTTGTGGACCTTCCCAAAAATATCTCCGTTGCCTATTGTGGGATATGGCCCATAACCTAAGAAAATTATTGAGTTTGGAGTGTAGACATGCTGACTCAATCTACTGCCGAAATATATAGAGGGGACTAAGGTGAAATACATGCAAAAAGCAATCCATCCACCGAGTTGATTGCATAATGAGATCATCAAATGTGCATAATGAATTACATATAGGGATGGCAATGAGTCGAGTCGGCCTTTAATCCACGAGCTTGGCTCGAGCTCGTGGCTCGTGAAAGGCGAGCCGAGCTTTGCGGGCCAAGCCGAGCGCACGAGCTCGTTATTTTTTTAATTTTTTTGGGGGTAAATTTGCACATTTTTTGACTTTTTTTTTTTTGTAAATTTGCATATTTTTTTTATGAGCTCACGAGCTCGGCTGGTGGGCTCGTAAAAAATGGCTTGTGAGCTTGACGAGTTGAGTAGGCTTGGCTCATGGGATTGAGCCCCCTGCTCGGCTCGAGTTCGAGCTCCTCATTTGACGAGCTCAAGCCTCCAACGAGCCGGATTTTGATAGGCCGAGTGATCGAGCCAATGAACCGCTCGACCCGTTTGACATCCCTAATGACACCGGAATAATGATTTTATTTCAAGACATTAATATATAGATATGATGCAACTGCAATGTGTTCATCTAGTGTCATATCGTCTATATCTGCATCTCATCAAACATTGGCTGCAACTCAAAATGCGATGCCTGCTGAATTAATTGATTATTTCAATCAGCATATGTCAACAGACAAAACAATTTAAAAAAATTCAGAAGAAGTAATTGAATTCTAGGGAAAGTATGAAAGACATTGACTAATTGTTTCTGCATATGTGAAAGATCTATTAACGCCTCCGGTTAGCACTGTTGCCTCGGAGTCTACTTTTAGTGCAGGTAAAAAGGTTTTGACCGATGTCAAGAGTTGATTGAAATAACACAGACATCCCCATTCATTCAAGGGTCACGACCTTTTATAATATTGCACTCACAAGAACTAAAGGAAGGGATACAACTATTATGCCTCTCTACAAACACTTATTTGAAATCTTAAATTTAATTAGTTGCTTCACAACTTTTGAAGATGAGACCATGTTTGAGCCACATGGTGGTTAGGTCAAGAATGAGAAGTATTACGCTACATTTTTAGATTTTTGATTTTGTAGGCCAATGATCAAGATGTCACCCAATTAATTTGGGTATACACATCTGAGAGTTTTCGCAGTTTAGCCGTCCTCCAACTATTAAAAATAGTGTGTAATTGGCTTTAATTAGACAATTTTGTAGGTCTAATTGAATTGAAATTTGATTTCGTTGCTCCAAAATTTTAGAAATCTTTTGATTTCCATAATATAACATTTTGCTAAACTCAAATATGAACCCTAACCCATTCCGTTACCTGTGCAAATGGCAATGCTTGTCCAAATCCACCATAATGCCTGCCAAGGCCTAAATCCAAAATTCATAGTTTGAGAAGATAACTCGTTAGTTTTTTCTATCCTAACTCTCTCCTCCCCACCCCACCCCCCTTTTTTTTCTTTTTATTTTTTAAAGCATTTGAAATAGGGCCTCCTTTTCTGTCTTTTTTATGATTCCATAGCGAGTTTGTTGACTTTTATAGAGCTTGTTTGTGACTGATTTTTCACCCCAAAAAATTGATTTCTTGACCATTATTTCATTATTCCAACTGTAAAGTTTGACTTCTTCTCTCATGGGTGTTTCACACTTTTCTCCTAAAGATCACAAAATCAATTCTCAAAATCACTTTCAAACGGGACCATAGTAAGAGGAATGTCATATGTAATTTCATTCTCGTACATTGCTTGCTTACGCGACATTATTCACATTTCCCCTTTATAAAACCACACATGTTACACACATTATTCATCTTCATCCCAAAAAAGCATCTCTTTATGGAGAACATTAGTGATGAGTACATACTCGATTGGGAAACGAATACGTTCCTCCAAGCTGAAGAACTTCAACCGTAATATTTTCTCTTCACTTAACACATGCATTCACGTTTGTTGTCATGTGTTCCATGTAATCCTGAACCCAAACACGAATTCTGGGTTGTGTTTTATGTTCGGGTCTATGGAAATGGAATATTGAGACTGATTTGATCTTAGCAGTTATTTGGATGAAGCAATTCCTACACACAATGATTCAAGCTCTCAAGATGGAACACAATCATCACTGATGGCCAACAAAAGTATTGTTTCAGAGAGGAATAGAAGGAAGAAACTCAATGAAAGGCTCTATGCACTAAGATCAGTAGCTCCCAATATTACAAAGGTATAACAAATATATGTTCCATTCATTATTTATCCCACCAGAAAAAACCGAAAGAAGTTATTAAAGAAGAATGATCAGAAATGTTTGCGTTGAACCATATAAAAGATTATGTCGTTAGAGAAAACCTCATATATCATTTAAATATCGTTTCAAGATGCCTCCTCAAATGTAAGCAGGATTTATATTTGTGTGTACAATTTTATTTTAATTAGTGACGATTTGACTTGAGCTCAAGTTTTTTCTTTGATTTGATGTCAAGTTGAACCACTTCATCAAGAACTTAAGTTAGGAGGAATATATGTATATCATTTAAATATTGTCTTCAATAGTTTGATTAGGCTAAATTTCATTGAAAATCATTGATCTGCTGTTTCTTTGAAAAATCAGATGCATAAGGAATCCATAGTGAAAGATGCCATTGATTATATTCAAAAATTGCACGAAGAAGAGAGGAAAATTCAAGCAGAAATATCAGACTTGGAATCTGCAGGGTCATCATCAAAAAGTACAATTTCTGAGTTTGATCATGAGGAAACATTTTCTTCAAACCCAAAGAGAGTAACAAGTGAGAGTTTCTATGATTCTGGAGGATCGAGATCATCACCCATTGAAGTTCTTGAGGTGGAATAATTATTATTTCTTAATCAGTGTTATTAATTAATTTGTTATTATGTTTGGTTAATTGATAAAATAGTTACTATTTATTAGTTCAGAGTATCCAGCATGGGAGAGAAGACAGTTGTAGTTAGCCTCACATGCAGCAAAAGATCAAATACAATGGTAAAGCTATGTGAGATGTTTGAATCTTTGAACCTCGAAATCATCAGTGAAAACATCACTGCTTTCTCCGATAGGGTTTTGAAAACTGTATTTGTTCAGGTCATTCCTCTCTCTCTCTCTCTCTCTCTCTCTCTCTCTCTCTCTCTCTCTCAACACACACATGAATCTTTCTCTGATAGGGTTTTTTATACAAGCATTGTCAAAAAAATTGGTTCTTTAAAACAATTAAATATAAAAATTTAAATTGTTATTGAAATCTTTAGTATGCATACTCAAGAGTATCTGAAATAATACTAATCCCCTGTTTGTTGTAGCTAAAAATCAATTTTTTTACTAGATTTTCATTAAGTTGATGATATATGTGGTTGAAAAATTGATAAAATGTGTAATTAAATATAATTATTTACTTTTATTTAAATTTTTATTAACTTTTAAGTTACACTAAATAGGGACTAAAACATATTCAGAAACGAGAGATATAAACGTGTTCTTTTACTTTGATATTATGAACCACAAGCCTGTCATAAGGTAATTTAGAAATTACTTCAAAGACTTTTGGGGGGAATAAAAAGATTAAGAGTTAGAGATTGTTTTTTATCAATATTGTATATGAACTCTTTTCTTCTTTGATTTTCTCGTTGTAGCTTTAATTTATGCTCAATTTTTAATACATTGTTTTTACTCTCTTTTCAGGCTGATGAGAAGGAGAAGGATCTTTTGAAGATTAAAATAGAAACCGCCATAGCAGCTCTAAATGCTCCATAAAACGCTAATAGTGAAAGTATGTTGTCATAATGTATTAACATATTTGCTGCCATAAGTTCTTTTTTTATTATAAGTTAAAAAATTTACTTATAAGTAAATTAGTATAAGTTCTTAAAATAAATAAGGGCCTTGTCTCCATCCTACAAACTAGGTGATATTGCTTGGGAGTTTCTTTTCAAGGATGTCCATTTTCCCTTCACAGTTGATGTAATCTGACTTTTTAAAATATGTTTGATTTCCTTTTACGTTATAATGCGAATGCATAAGAATATGAAATTCACGAACAATTTTCTAGTTTCCATTTATTTACTCATGAATTCAATAAATTAAGTATCAAACACTTGACGATTCATAAAAAGTAATCAAAAAATTGGACACATAATTGAGAATCAAAAGAATTAGGTCTCCTATTTTGAAACTTAAACTCAAAAATAATAATAATAATAATAAATAAAATAGAACATCTGCATGTTGGTCATGATCTACCGACTCTGAAGAGGAAGAGGAAAACATTGAAAATATAGGAACAAAATGTGAGCCTCAACAATTCAAGTCTTTGAAGGTTACTCAAGATAACATAACACAGTTAAACCTCAATGAATTAATCTTGGGATCAATAAAAAAACATTAATTTAGTGAATATTAAATAATCAATAAATTAATAATTTATTAATATATCAATTACTTATTAATTTATTAAGGTATTCTGTATATCTAGATGTTGATCGATAGATTAAATTTGAGTTTAATTTACCTTATCTTGATTGAATCGGGATAGTAATTCGTAGTAGATGAAATCCTAATTTATGAAGTTGACTTTGATATCAAATATGTGAATTCGGGCATGTTCGGTAGTGATTCTGAAAATTGATTTTTTGATCATTAGGGAGAAAAGTAAAAGCCACCTATGAGTGAAGAAGTAAAAAATGACGGCTAGAATAGTGAAATAACGATAAAAAAATCAATTTTTGAAGTGAAAAATCACTACCAAACGGGGGCTAAATCTTTAATGACCAAAGCAAAACCAAAAATATTTCTAGTCATTTATCGATCAAGAATTCAGTAAATAATTCAAATATATATAAATGTAATGTGAGAATTTCCATAATACGTGTGTTAGAGAGAATTCTTCTAACCTGTCCATCCGAAATCCATACATATCCACGTATTATACAATAATGTGTGTGTTGGGTATTATTGATATCAAATAAACTTCGAGGCGATGATGTAATGGTCGGGACGATTGACTCAAGGCTTTAAGCACACAATTGATTATAATATTTAAAAGAACCCTAGAATTATTTTGGTAGCTGCAGAATCAAAGACGGACCGAGCACCCAACATTAGAACCCCATCCATTTAATACCCTAATATTATTCTATATATATTTGGGTATTTGACCTATTATATATACAATACATTCGACTCCTTGGTTGAGAGAGAAAATTGATAGGGGAGTATTGTGTATTATTATAGTTAAATTAATTTCTATCTAACTATTGATTAGATTTAACATAGTTTGCTGGTTTAATTAGTAGGTGATAGAACATTTTTCACTACAGTGTGGAACATATCATGTGTAGAGGAAAAAAAAAAAAATTAATGTGTCAAAATAATATAAAAATATATTTCTCCAAATTGATTGATTAAAGTTCGTACAGTCGTACTTGACAATCAATATCCAAAAATATCATCTTATCATATGACTATTAGAATTGCAGCTTGAAATAAAATTATAAAACACGTGCAGAACAACTGCACAAAACAATTCCAATTTGTCTAAGATCAAAGATATTTATGCAGTGATAGAGACAATCTATGTGTCTGTTTGGTATTCATTTTACAACATTTTAAAAAGGTTTTTACCCTTTGAAACGATAAGTGGGCCCACATACAGCCATTTTTTACTCAACAATATGGAAATTCCATGAAATATGTACTCCTTAACTTTGAAATAAATGTGAAAAAGGGTAGAAAAGCTAATTCTACTTCTGATTAACAGAGTGTATTTGATTACATTTATTTTTCATGGAAAATATCAATTTTACATCCAAATTTCTACTTGGAGTGTTTGATTGCTATTTTTTTTCGTGGAAAACATTTTTCAACTTTTGCAAATATGCCTAATTTTCCTTGGGTAGAGGTGATTTTTATTTTCCACAAAAGATGGAAAATATTTTCTTTTTTAGGTGATATTTTCCATGTATATGCATCTTTACCGGTTGGAATTCTTCTAACAAGTGAAAAACAAAAAGTATTCATTTTAGAAGTAATTCTTGTATGACTATCAAAATAAATAATTCATTTATTTTCAACTTTGATTGACAAAATTATTTATTTCAAAATTTACTTATAAGAAAACAAGCTAAGCCAAACGGTGCTCTAGTTGTTGTCCCAAACCTTCGACGATATTTATATTCACAGGGGCTTTCGTTGTAAATTGACTCTTCAAGGAAAAATGGTTCAATTTTTGTTTGTGGTATTATGGTCAAGAACACGTATAAACAGGTTGACTATGACTCGCCGCAAAACATAGACGAAAAAGGTATACAACATACTCAATGCAGCCACATGCATGCTGAGTTAGAAAGGGTGTGATTTCTTCGATTTTGTTGCCGGAACATTAGCATTGTTTGAGCCTTATTTTTTGAATAAATAGATTTTGTATAGTTATTTTCTAAAAAATTAGTTAGAGTTGAACGTGCACATGTAAGCTGAGTTAGAAAGGGTGATTTGTTCGATTTTGTTGTAGGAATATTAATACATAAATTAAATAAAGCACTGTTTGAGCCTTATTTTTTGGAATAAATAGACTTTGACTTTTGTATAATTATTTTTTAAAAAACTACTAGGAGTTAAATGTGCATTGCGCGGTATTCTAAAATATATCATGTGCTGTAAATGTCATAATTTATATCAATTTGTTGTAGGATTTGATGAGTTTCAAATAAACTAAAGAAAATAAAATTTATGATAAAAATTTAAGAGAGGAAAATTGTACTTTTAAAACTCAGTTTCTATGATTCAAAATTTTTTTTGATGATGAAACATGTTGCGTGTTGTCACACCTGTCCTACTCACCTGGGCCAATGGCCCACTCATCCTGATCCACGTGGCATTCCTGTCGAGGTGGCTCACATTGCCGATGTAGGTTATATCCGAAGTGCTTCAGTCGAGGCCTATCCGTCGAGGCTCCTCGATCCGATGTACGCGAGTTTGCCGAAGTCCAACTACCGAGGCCCATGACCCGAAGCATGGAACCTGTTGAATGTAGCTGAGATCCTCAAGTGGAAGTATTTGTCAAATGGTCAAAGCTCCGAAGCTGATGCACGAGCCTCTTAACCATAAAGAGCTTCCTCCACAGTCACTTCTCCCAAGAGATCGCCTGCTCAAAGATCTTATTCGAATGACTGATGGAACGTTTATCACAAGCATAAAGGTCAAGTCTTGTCACTAGTATGGAGGACCTGCACAAGCAATAAATGCGCCGCAAGCTAGCAAGTCAAGCCCCATACCTAAGAAAAGACGTTTAAACTAAAGAGATGAGGCCACGTGCCACTTCATCCAAGGGCTCCCATTTCATATGTATCACTATAAATACTTCCATTATGTAATGTCAAAGGCTAATGCAAGAATCAATACTAAAGACTACATTTACTCAACTCTCTCTCATTCACTTGCAATACACAAATCGAGTTGATACACTTTTACATATACATTTACGAGCACCGGTTGGTAATTATTGTACAATCGGATTACAAACAACTCACCGGATTCCGAACGTCACCGTCCCGCGTCGTTGGGTTACTCCCACGTCCCTTTGAACCGCTCTTTTAGACCGTCCACATGTCTTAGCGTGTTGGACATTCGCCCACGCAAACGCGAGTGGGACCGACATCTGTTGGCGCACTTTTTGGGGTCAACAAAACACAACAAATGAACAATCTTTTTATATTACATTTGGTACATAAAAACTAATTACTAATACATAAATTTAAACATCATTAAAAATCATAGATAAATGAATAAAATAAATTCATAATAAATTGATCTATGATAACTCTAGATTCATGTCGATCTAGATTTATTGAGTTAAGATTCATTGAATCTAGATTAATATGAATTTTAATTAATTAAGAATTAAAAACACGAAATTCATACATGACAAGAATTTTGTAATATTTATTACATATTGAAAAACGAAGAGTAAGATATTATTGAAATAATTGAATTATAGTAACGTTAAAATCGTCCAAAAAATGATGGTTAAAAGTAGAAAAATGTTTGGATTTATATGTAAAATTATTTTAAGGGAGAATGTGTGGTTGAAAATGAGTTCGTGGAAAAATGAGTTTTTTGAAAATGGGATTGAAATAGATAAAAATAAAAAATAAAAAAATAAAACTCACATTTGTTCGAATAGAAGGATTTCATGTTTTTTTTCTTAAGATAAATATGTTCCTCTATTGTTGGTAGATTCGAGCAAATGTCTCCTAGTAAAACAAATTTTGTTTTCATAGAAGTAATACTTGAATTTTATAGGAATCGATAGATAGAACTTATTGATTAGAAAGCATCATAGCTATTTGAATAATGTTTTTCGCTACATCCACGAGCAATGTGTATGCGACGTATGATGATTGTCGTAGTGAATAACTGTGAATAGTATTACTCTATTTATTTAGATAGAATGTTTAGTGCATGAAATTACTCTCTTCCAAGACATTATCCCCTTCATTGGCCGGTGTAGTGCTAACGTGCGTGTCCAAAATTATCTCTTCCCAAAACCTAAAACAATGATGCTACACTTATCGAAAATGCTAGACAAAAGTCCTGAATAAACATTCACAATAGGGGGTGAGGGCCACTTTTTTTGAAAATTTTTATTCATACGGGTCTCACGCGCATGTAAAAGGATGTCAAGACATCTGTCAGAAGTTTTCGGTCAACTCAGCTTAATTGAACCTAAAATACATACTTTTGAGTACAAAAACCTAACA